GGAATAAGCGAGTCTGAATCTCCCCCTTCCTCCCGAATCCTGGAACCGGCGAGCCGATCCGCGGCGTCGGGAAAGGTGAACCGTTACATGGCGCCCGAACAGGGACCTGCCCAGTGGAGATCCCGACTCGCTTAAGCCTATCCAGATGCCCGCGTGGGTAAATCAATTATCAAAAACCGAAGCTATTGCCTTGGCCAAAAGACACGGAATCGATAGCCAAGGAACTTTAGACGAGGTCCGCCGACGCCTCCGCCGATTTGTCGGGCAAAACCCCGCGCTATTTCGAACTCACCTACCTGTGCCCACTATCAACGTCGAAATGGCCACCAGAAGCCCAACCAAAGACGAAGAAGAAGAAGCTACCACCCCGACACCTGTTGAACCGGCCAGGATCATGGATCAGATCCGAAAATGGGGGTGCCACTTCGAGGGCAAGGACCCCTGGCATTCCTCGAGCGTACGGAAGAGCTGTGCCTGGGCTACGGCTACACGACGCCCAGATGCTGTTAGGGCTACCCGAACTCTTACGGGGAGACGCCCTGCTGTGGTATCGCAACATCCGCGATACCATAGCCAGCTGGGCCGACTTTCGCCAAGCTGTCCGCCAGCAATACCTGCCAAGCGGGTATGAGAGACAGATGAAAAGGACGATCCAGGGACGTCAACAACGCCCTAAAGAGTCCTTCCAAAAGTACGCCACCGAGGTCCTGACCATGATGCGGCGCGCCGGGGGATATTCACCCCTAGACCAACTGGAACAGCTCTACGAAAACATGGATCCGGAGTACCAATTGTACGATCCGCCGTCTAGGAGGGGGGAGGGGGGGGTAGTGTAACGGCGTAGCCGTTACTAACGCCTCGCGGGCCGATCACCCGCCCGCCACTTGAGGCTATGGCGCCTAAGGCGCCCCTAAGCACAAAATCTTAACTGATACACGGGTCACCCTACCCCAGGGGCGCCCCACTACAACCCCCAGAGGCGCCCCACTACGACGCCGGCGTTACCCCCACCACAGCCTCGAGGCCTCGAGGAGAGTGGGGGAACCGCCGGCAGGGTATATAAGCCGGCTCGACGGATGAGCCGGCACCAGTCCTGTTCCAGCTCCTCCAGCCAGGCAACGGGCTTCTCGTTGTTACGCCGGTTTTCCCGGTTTCTGGCCTCTACCTTTAGTATCGGGCAACGGGTTTCTCGTTGTTACGCCGGGTTTCCCGGTTTCCGGTCTCTTCCTGCTACACGCCGGGCAACGGGTTTCTCGTTGTTACGCCGGGTTTCCCGGTTTCCGGTCTCTTCCTGCTACACGCCGGGCAACGGGTTTCTCGTTGTTACGCCGGGTTTCCCGGTTTCCGGTCTCTTCCTGCTATACACCGGGTGACGGGTTTCTCGTCATTACGCCGGGTTTCCCGGTTTCCGGTTTCTTCCTGCCATAGGCTATACGCCACGTACACCGTATCTCTAAGTTATACCGGGTAATTTGTAAATCTTTTCCGGACACCGCTACAGGCTATACGCCTCCTTATTTGTTTATACCGAGTAGTCAATAAGTTTCTCTATTTAGGGCTTTATGCCAACAAACATTTCGTTTATACCGAGTAGTCAATAAGTTTCTCTATTTAGGCTTTATGCCAACAATCATTTTGTTTCTTTTTCTTTTGAATAAACCAAAGTATTGTTAATAAGGAATAAGCAAGTCTGAATCTCCCCCTTCCTCCCGAATCCTGGAACCGGCGAGCCGATCCGCGGCGTCGGGAAAGGTGAACCGTTACAAACATATGGCAAATTACTATACTAAAATAAAATATAAAAAATAAAAAATAAAATATAAAAAGTATAAGATAATAAAAAGATAAAATAAAAATAAATAGATATATTCGGTTCGTTGTCATCCTGCCTTAACATACCAATAATAATAAACTACTAATAATAGCTCCCAACAATGTATGTTAAATTTTTTTACTTCAATTCTAAACAAACTGTCATATATCGTACTAAAGCTTTCAGTGTCTTTCTGTAAATTGATCGTGGAATTCAATTTCTTGATAAAGTACATTTCGGCTATCTTAAGTTAAGTCTCACCGGAGCGTACTTTTAAATGTCAATAACGATATGCAGTAACTCATTGTAAGTCTCATTTGTTACATTTCACGTTTTCAATTTAAATGTTGATTCTGATTGCATGTACATTAATTTCTAGAATGCTTCTATTGTAATTTGAAAAGGACCACAACCCGTATGGTCGAAACGTCAATAAATATAGTTTAACAAATCTAATAGACAGCCAGTGTAGTCAGTTTAATTCTACTACCTTAGTATTTCATTCCTGGCGAACGAAATTTAATAATTTATAATAATATAACATTATATAGAAATATATAAAAGTATACGTATAATCGCAGAATTATATTATGAAATATGTCTATACATAATTAAGTAAAAGTGCTTGTTATATATAATTATATAAATTTATATATATGTCAATCGATTATTTTAACGACAATTTTTAGTACGCCATGGCTACTTTGACGACTTTTGGCTATTTTGACGACTGTCGTCAAAATTTTAGCAATCTATTGTATAATTTGACGACGTCGTCGAACTAATGTTAAACGAATAATTGGCTACTTATGCGACATTGTATACTTCGACGACTAATATCTAATGGCTATTTTCACGACAGTCTATAACACTTGTCAAAAAAGAGAAAAAATATGTACATGTGATAAAAATTCAGGTTTTCATAAAAAGACAATATTGTTATTAATATTGAAAATTAAAATTAAAATTAAAATAATATTAAAATTAAAATTAATATTAAAAATAAAAATATTAAAATATATTTTATTTACTTATAAATATATAATAATAATGTATATATATACTATTTTATCACAATTTAACTTACATTTTAAATCAAATTTTATTTAGTTTTATTTATTAACTATTGTCCACTATGTATGGACATGTTACAATTCTGTGAATGAGATACAATACAAAAATATACAATTAGCAACAAAATGCATAAAAAATACCATTGTCTTTTATATGAAAAAAAAATTATAAAAAAAGACATAACATTTTATCTAATATTATTAGGCAACAACACAAATAGAAGATAACAAATATAATAAAGTTATTTTAAAATATACAATACTTTTCACAGAAAATTTATTTTCCTAATTATTTTATATATATAAAAATGTATATAAAAATGTATGCATTAAAATTATATAAACAACCTTTCTACAAAGCAATATAAATGACTAGAGTTTGCAATTTTTACAATGAGTAGAATACTGATTAAATCGTGTGACAGAGAAATAAATTCCGTCTTGACTTTCTATTATTATATTGATTTTTATAGGTAGTTGGCTAATTGACCTATGCATTTTAGCATCGAAGAATATATTGCAATAATGGAAGAAAAACTCTTTTCGCCAAATACTGCCAGTTAGTTTCTATACATATAAGTGATTTATTTGACAATGAAATGTTTTATAATATAATGAATTTTACAATGTTTTATAATATTAAAATAAAAAAACAATAATGGATAATGTGACAATACAATGTGCAAATAAACTTCTAAAATATAAGGTAGATTCACAACGTTTGTAATACTAAACTAATCAGTAATAATACGTATAGCACTATTTTTTAACATAAAGTCATTTTATATATAATAATTTACATATTATGAAGTAAACAGAAGCATTACAAATTTTTTTCTTTTAAAAAATAAAAAATTTTTCAGTCTGTACATAAAAAATATAAAAAAATTAATCTTCCATCACTGAATAATATTAAAAAGTTGCATACATATTTGACGAAACAGAGCATATGTATATAAAAATGTATGCATTAACTTAAAATGTAGCATACACATTTAATAAAACAAAAAACTGCATATGCAGCATATGCAGTTTTTTGTTTTATTAAATGTGTATGCTACATTTTAAAATCATCCAATCAGCAGATGTCTTCACATAAAAAATAACTTGCATTTGCTGACATTAACTTCAATACATGTCTTTAATAGACGTCGAGCAGGAGAAATGGAACGTGCAGAGATAGATGATTTTAAAAATTATGTTAAAGTAAATAAAAATATGTACGGTGACATTTATAAATCCTTAACTGTGGAGGATAGAAAAATTGCTGAGAAATATGTGCGATTTTGCATCAGAGGAAAATTAGGGCAAACAGTACCCGTATTATTATCAAACGATATGTTTGACTGTATTACATTAATTTTGAAGTTTCGTACAGAAGCAAATGTACCGGAAAAAAATCCTTTCATTTTTGGATTACCTGGTCTCAACAAAAATAGATACCGATATCTTAGGGCATGTCTTTTAATGCGCAAATTTGCACATGAATGTAACGCAAATGAGTCAACTACATTACGTGGTACTACATTCAGAAAACACATAGCCACACATTGCATTCAATTCAACCTGAATGATACTGAAGTTTCGGATCTTGCGACATATTTGAATCATGGAGAGAAAATTCATAAGGATTATTGTTAAAACAAACTTGAGAGTGTTGTCATATTGTGGCAAAAAATCTTTTACAGACAGCCACAAGCAAGCAAAGTTATACTTAAAATGTCTCGATATTTAGAAGCTATATAAGGAAAGAATTCGAAAAATGATCCTGGGAATGAATCGAACAGCGATTCTGAGAAAAAACATAATTAAAACCAGAATGTTTGTAAAGAAAAAATTCATAAAGATTACTACAGACAGTCATGCAATACTGTCTGCTTGTCACAGAATAACAATGTCTATATATTTTTAACCTAAAGTGATTATATCTACATAATACCTAACCTAATCTAAACTAAAATGACTTTACAGCCTGTGCCAAATGTAAAAAATATTTTGTCACAATATGACAACACTCAAGTTTGTTTGAACAATAATTTTAAAAAATTAAGAATATTATGCTAATTAGTAGACAAACCACTAGAAAAATTCACCCAATAAATAGCTAGCAAAACTTGAAAAAAAACTTTTTCTTGTTATACGAAAAAATATAGTAACACGGATTTTGAGATACGACGAGTTATTGATTACATATGCAAATAAAATGTGCGTAAAGTACAAAGCACAAGCAACATCAGCACGACATGATTCGTGCCAGGATACGCCTTCTTGGTCGGTTTCCCTTAGCGTTAAAGGATATAAATACAAATATACAATACTTTCAATCGCTGTACCATCATCGATTATATGATAACAGCATCTCTGCAATAAACATAGTTGCAGTATATAATAGCACACAACTTTATAAAACTCCTGCAGTAGCATCTACTTTGTCAAATCTTCTAAAATATGTTAATTATAGAATGTATCAAAAAAGAAGATGAGGATAAGAAGAAATTAGTCAAAGATTTCATAAAACTACTCATTGCAGATATTAGCACAAGTGTCAATAAAACTGTGCAAGAAACGCAGTCTGTACATAAAAGACATAAAAAGATAATCTCCCCTTAATGAATGATATTAAAGTTCCATGAATATTTGATGAAACAAAGAAATGCAGCATATGCAGCACTAAAAAAGTCGTTTTTATATGACAAATGGCTTGCATTAGCTGAGATAACACTAACTTCAATATATGTCTTTAAGAGATGTCGAGTAGCAGAAATAGAACAAGCAAAGATAGATAATTTTTAACATTATGTACAAGCCCATACATTATGTTAAAAAATTATCTTGTATATTTGTATTTATATAAATACTCTATGGTGTTGAAATAGTCTTTATATGTATAAGGAAAGTATGTATGTATATATTGTGCATCACTGAATTGTAATGAAAAAAGTGATTTCTCCTCTAACTGTTCTATTCTGGCTGTATGCTATATTATATCTTATAATTATATGTATTGTGAGATATGCTTTTCCAATTGGCAAACCTTATTCGACGACGATTTATTATCACGAACATTGGAACTATTTGAAAGTCATGAGAATATATATTCATTTCATCGCGTACGATTTAATAATTTTCCTATACATATAAAGACTATTTTTTCAATAAATGTAATTTAGATATATGTTAGATATATGATGACATACTATATTGAGGTTCGACTGTATAAATCAATGCAATAATGCCAAATTTATATTTTCCTAAAATGTAAAATATATGGATTTGAAAACTCTTCTGTGCAATCCAATTAAGCTAACTCGAATTATTATATCCATAGCAAAAATCCGCCATTTTTGCATCAATATATTTCAAGTCGAAATACTGTCTGTTTGTCACAGAATGACAATATCTAAATAATACCTAACTTAACCTAAAATGATTATATCTACATAATACTTAACCTAATCTAAAATTATAATGAATACAATACAATGGTTCATTGATTAAGAGCTATTTACTCTATTATAAATAATAATTTCCATCAGCATGCTCCACTATTTTTCTTACAAAAGAAAGTTGAGGTCACTTCTAAGATTATCACAGCGTAATCTGAAAAATGGAAATTTATATAGTATTTTAAATATAATTTTAAACAGGTGTAAAATATACAAATTTATATTATACGATACTTTTATAAAAACGTTAATTTCAAAAATTTATAGTTCACGTTACTATATATTAGTAATAATGGCAGTAAATATCTATCAAAACGCATAAAAATGTATATATACTTACAAATAGGTGAGAGTTCCACGTATTCTATTTGTTTATCTACTAAAATATTTTGGTTGTTATCAAGCATTTCTTTTTGATAATCAGGCTTTGAGAACTCGACATAAGTTTCAATGTTTAGAGCACTTCTTTCATCTGAATTTATCGTTTGATTGATAGGTACTAAAAAAAATAAAGAAATAGCATAACATATTTACTTTTACATGCATACACATATTTAGAATATATACATATACACATATTGGTAAGTATACAGAACGTGCTTACAAAATGTTATACAATAGAAGAATCTGTTTTACACACAAATTCTTTTACTGGCGATGAGTATACTTATACTGTAATATTTTTATAAGTGCGTTCTGAATACTAACCATTATGTAGAATACAAACAGTAAATGTAATCATACCACAAGACGAAGACTTTTCAATGTTTCTTTCATAATTATGGCTTTTAGTACAAATAATAGTCCTGTTGTTAATTGCACTCATATCACAGGTTGTCGTTGCATTAGTAATATTATCTAAAAATGTAACAAGAGAATACTATTTACAGTTAAGTTATAATAATTAATAGTTACAGAAATACTTGTAATGAATGCATACTTACCACTAGATGGAGTTACATCAGCAAGTTTCTTAAGATTACATTGCTTCTTAGAGTTATCAGTCTCTTTAAATGCACTTGTATAATCACAATTAATTGTTTCGTTAATATCGTCTGAAAAAAGTAGAAAATTTCATTATAACATTTACTGAATTCAATAAATGAGGAATTTTTGTAAATAAGTCAATATATAGATCTTACTTACCATTAAAAGAAAACACAAGAATATCTTTCTGGCAATCAATCTCTGAGGAGTCGATACAAGTTTCAAAGTTTAAAACACCTCCTTCATCCAAATTTATTATTTTATTAATATCTAAAATTATAAAAAATAGCATAACATATTAACTTCTTATACACACACATTTTGAAATATTATAAACCTATACATATTGATTGCTATTCAGAAAGTGCTTACAAAATGTTAGTACAATTGATATCCAATAGAAGAATCTGGTTTAAATAATACAGATCCTCCATTGGAAAACAAAATGTTAGTCTCTTTAAGTGCATTTTGAATACTAATCATTATGCGAAATATAATATAATAATAAACATAACCATACCACAAGACTTCTCAATGTTTTTCTCATAATCATAGCTTTCTTTACAGTTAGCAGTCGCATTGTTAGTTGTACTCATGTAACAGGTTGTCCCATTGTTAGTTGCATTCATATCACAGGTTGTCGTTGCATTAATAGCATTATCTAAATTTGTAAAAAGAGATTGATATTAACAATTAAAATATAATAATTTATAGGAATATTTATAATGAATGCATATTTACCATAAGATACAGATACATCGGTAAATTTGTTAAGATTACACTGTTTCTTAGAATTATCAGTCGTTCTAGTTGCACTTGGATCATCACAATTAATCGATTTATTACTACTTGCTAAACAAATTGTAGCGGAAAATTACTTATACACATAAGAATTATACGAATCTATATTCAAGTGATAAAAAGTCGTGATTAAAAGTAGATACAGCATACTTACCATATGGTAGATATTCAATGTTTTTTTCTGGGTTAATATCTCTAGTCTTATACTTCTTTCTTGGGTTTATTGTTACATTAGGTACATTTGTATTAATATTTTTAACTATTGTTTCTAATAGTCTTTTATCATCTATAGAAATACAAAACATGGTTAAAATATAATTAAAACCATTTGTAGTTGTAATAATTGTTTTTATGTGATATATTTTAGTATATATATTTTAATGTACACATATATAAAGACACATGTGTATGGATGCGTGTGTGTGTTGTGCATGTGCGTATGTATGTGTTTAGGTATTTTTTTGATCTTGATATGAGAAGTATCTATTAGGAAAAATTATTTAATTCAGATATAAAATTTCAATTAAAAAAAAATATGTGTAACATATTTTGTTTACATTGATATATTATTTGGCAAAGGATAATTTTTTACTTATTATTGCGTATGTGTATATTCATATAATATATAACATATGATATAACATATTTATATTATATATATAATATAAATAACATATTTATATATACATACAAAGAGCACATCTGTCCAAAAAATGTCTAAAAATGTTTTATTACCTTTTAGACATCTTTAAGAAATTTTTTGGTCTTTTTGTGCTCTCTGAGATAAATATACAATACGTAATATAAAAGAAAAGCATTTTAGTAGATATAATTGTTTTTCTTACTGTTTCTTGCAATGATCGTTGCGGAATACCTATATCCATCGCTGTATTTTACTTTTATGTCGCGACTTTTAGTAGGAAAAATACATTTTTGGGTGCACACATAATGCACATCATCGTAAAATTTCACAAGCGCATACATCTTTTTTTACACATTAAAATACTTTAGCACAAAGGAAAGTTAAATGTTAACATTATTCAAATCTTAATGTAATGTAACGGTAGCTTGAGATATTTCTCTGCGTCTGCGTAATGCGTAATGGTACGATAACAAACGCGGAAACGTTCATAAGAAGAAAATCACATAGTACGGGAATCAACGTGTGGGACAGAGACCTAGTTTACATCGAGTACTTGATACGCGTATTAAATAGTAAATAACTAGTAAATTGATTCAATTATTGGCTGATCAGCTCAAATGTACTATTTGATACGCGTATTAAGTGCTCGATGTAAAATAGACCAGGGTATCGATTCTGTAACTTTTTCTAAAGTGAAAATGTGAAAAGTGAAAAATTTCCGCCAATCACGCATTGATTTTAAAATGAAATTGATGTGCAATTGGCGGAAATTTTTTACTTTTCACGTTTTCACTTTAAAAAAAGTTACAGAATCGATACTCTGAGGATGGGTGATTCGACCAGCCAATCAGAGCTTTTCCGCATTTTTCTAAGAACGTTGATTGGGCATGTCGGATGACTTATTTGTTTAAATCGCTTAGTAATAAAAGCATTATCTGATCGAGAGGCGGTGTCATGCAGCGAGCGGCGAGCAATGTAGCGGCGCCGAAAAGTAAGATGATACTTTTGATACTAAGCGACAGCCAAATACAAAAGTAAAGAAGTGTTTTGATTGGTCTAAACTCGTGATGCGCGGCCTGACGCGCTCAGTGGAAATTCAGCCGCACTCTCATACAAAAAGCGCCATGCTTACTTTCGCGCGACATTACATGGAAATATTAAAGTCGTTCTACATTAGTTGCAAATGGAGTCGCAAATCGCAAAAAATTAACCAATCACAATTGAAATTCAAGAAAATAATCGACTATGGTTGGCTAATTTTTTGCGATTTGCGACTCCATTTGCAACTAATGTAGAACGACCTTAATGTCACATGTTGCATTCGTTATTCTCGCTTTCATATAGAAAGTATCGTTCTTTCTTTTGCTCGTTAAACATAAATAATATACAAGGGCCCGTAGTCTGTTCTTATATTTAAGATCGTCTTAAGACCTCGTTCAACCAATCAAATGGCCGCTTAGCATCTCTTGACTGGTTGAACGAGGTCTTAAGACGATCTCAAATATAAGAACGGACTATGAATACGGGCCAATAAAGCGGGGAGCACAAACTTTTGCATAGGCGCATAAGCGTAAACATATAGCGGGGAGCACACACTTTTGCATAGGCGCATAAGCGTAAGCATAAGAATCTTGATTGGTCTATAAACGTATGCATAGGAAATTGAACCAATCGAATTTCTTAATCCGGGTCTACATTGGTCGTAGAATCGTAGATTGTAAGAAAATTGATCCAATCACAGTTGAATGTGAGAAGAATAATCGACTCTGATTGGATCAATTTTCTTACGATCTATGATTCTACGACCAATGTAGACTTAGCTTTATGCATATGCTTATGCGCTTATGCAAGAATGTGTGCTTCCCGCTTAAAGCTTACATATCGCCATAATGCTTCCATGCAATGTCGCGCAAAAGTAAACATATTTACCTTATATTCAAAATGGTCACAAAAACTAAATTCATAAAAGTTTAGAAGTGATTTATGTGTTTATTTAATTCTGCTGAATTTCTACTGCTCTAAAACTTGTAAACGAAAACTTAAGCTGGTTATTGAACGGTTAGTTGATCAATTAATCGTTGAAATTTTTTTTCATTTATTTCAATGAAATATTCAATGTATATTTTGTGTGATGTACTGTGTTTTTCTCTCGTGCCTTTAACAATGCCTGTTAATAAATTGTGCATACCAGTAACACCTTTCGGGCACGTACGATATTCATTGCATATTCTGAAATATTATTTATTTATCATTGTCGACGTACTATTAAAAAAAATGTAATCTGCCTATTACATGGACTATAGCGAAATAAATAAGAAAAAATTTAGCATTTTTATCACTATAATGAATCTTTATTGTTTATAAATTTTCTAAATAACTTGCATTTTATAGTAAATAAAAACACTAGTACATCTACTTTTAAAATTATGAAATCTACATTAATTCGGTAAAAATATGTTTTAATGGTACATTGTGATTATGGCGATAGTATGTACATACTGATACATGTATATAGCATATGAAGTCTGAGTGTCCAAATGCATTATTCATATATGTCAATTAATATACATATTTATTTATGAAATTCTGCGCATAGAAGTTATTTTTCATTTCTTTACATCTCATAGTGAGTTTGAATAACTATTTACAGGTATATATATATTTTTAAAATAGATATTTGTTACATACGTAAATAAAAAATCGATAAATTTTCTAGAAAATGCAAAGAGAGATGCAGATCTTTAAAGTGATATGTTCAACGACAAATATTGTAAGCTCATTTCAGAGCTTAGCAAAATATGTTTATGCGCTTTTTTCTTCCATTTTTAGGTGAATCACAAACATACAATTATTTCTTTAAATACATATTTTTTACATTATTAAATAAATATCTATATAATTTCACCTTAGGATAAGTTTCAGTTGAGAAACTGGCCAGCGATGTGTGTTGTAACTTACATTCAAACTACATTGTACAGGAACTTTTTCCTTTTTATATTTATGGTGAGTCTAAAAATAGATATATTTATTTATAAAATGCATATTTTTTACATTGATAAGTAAAAATTTATATTATATAGTTTTTGTCATATAGGTTATATGAAGAAATTGTATCTATGAATGATGAAATCAAAAAGTAACTCTTTGTTCATAGTACACACAAACCAAGACTGTAATAGAAATCAGGAAATTTTAATGGTCCTATACCTATAATGCTGAAAATTAATCTTCTATCTGTTCTAATTAACAACCTGTCATAAAAACTCTAACTTTTGCATTTTATACAATGTGAGAACATACAATTTATTTAAAACAGATTTTAGAAAAATCGTTTTATGTAACAAATATCTATTTTAAAATATATATATACCTGTAAATAGTATTCAAACTCACTATGAGATGTAAAGAAAAATGAAAAATAACTCTATCGCAGAATTATAAAATAAATATGTATATTAATTGACATATATGAATAATGCATTTGGACACTCAGACTTCATATGCTATATACATGTATCAGTATGTACATACTATCGCCATAATCACAATGTACCATTAAAACATATTTTTACCGAATTAATGTAGATTTCATAATTTTAAAAGTAGATGTACTAGTGTTTTTATTTACTATAAAATGCAAGTTATTTAGAAAATTTATAAACAATAAAGATTCATTATAGTGATAAAAATGCTAAATTTTTTCTTATTTATTTCGCTATAGTCCATGTAATAGGCAGATTACATTTTTTTTAATAGTACGTCGACAATGATAAATAAATAATATTTCAGAATATGCAATGAATATCGTACGTGCCCGAAAGGTGTTACTGGTATGCACAATTTATTAACAGGCATTGTTAAAGGCACGAGAGAAAAACACAGTACATCACACAAAATATACATTGAATATTTCATTGAAATAAATGAAAAAAAATTTCAACGATTAATTGATCAACTAACCGTTCAATAACCAGCTTAAGTTTTCGTTTACAAGTTTTAGAGCAGTAGAAATTCAGCAGAATTAAATAAACACATAAATCACTTCTAAACTTTTATGAATTTAGTTTTTGTGACCATTTTGAATATAAGGTAAATATGTTTACTTTTGCGCGACATTGCATGGAAGCATTATGGCGATATGTAAGCTTTAAGCGGGAAGCACACATTCTTGCATAAGCGCATAAGCATATGCATAAAGCTAAGTCTACATTGGTCGTAGAATCATAGATCGTAAGAAAATTGATCCAATCAGAGTCGATTATTCTTCTCACATTCAACTGTGATTGGATCAATTTTCTTACAATCTACGATTCTACGACCAATGTAGACCCGGATTAAGAAATTCGATTGGTTCAATTTCCTATGCATACGTTTATAGACCAATCAAGATTCTTATGCTTACGCTTATGCGCCTATGCAAAAGTGTGTGCTCCCCGCTATATGTTTACGCTTATGCGCCTATGCAAAAGTTTGTGCTCCCCGCTTTATTGGCCCGTATTCATAGTCCGTTCTTATATTTGAGATCGTCTTAAGACCTCGTTCAACCAGTCAAGAGATGCTAAGCGGCCATTTGATTGGTTGAACGAGGTCTTAAGACGATCTTAAATATAAGAACAGACTACGGGCCCTTGTATATTATTTATGTTTAACGAGCAAAAGAAAGAACGATACTTTCTATATGAAAGCGAGAATAACGAATGCAACATGTGACATTAAGGTCGTTCTACATTAGTTGCAAATGGAGTCGCAAATCGCAAAAAATTAGCCAACCATAGTCGATTATTTTCTTGAATTTCAATTGTGATTGGTTAATTTTTTGCGATTTGCGACTCCATTTGCAACTAATGTAGAACGACTTTAATATTTCCATGTAATGTCGCGTGAAAGTAAGCATGGCGCTTTTTGTATGAGAGTGCGGCTGAATTTCCACTGAGCGCGTCAGGCCGCGCATCACGAGTTTAGACCAATCAAAACACTTCTTTACTTTTGTATTTGGCTGTCGCTTAGTATCAAAAGTATCATCTTACTTTTCGGCGCCGCTACATTGCTCGCCGCTCGCTGCATGACACCGCCTCTCGATCAGATAATGCTTTTATTACTAAGCGATTTAAACAAATAAGTCATCCGACATGCCCAATCAACGTTCTTAGAAAAATGCGGAAAAGCTCTGATTGGCTGGTCGAATCACCCATCCTCAGAGTATCGATTCTGTAACTTTTTTTAAAGTGAAAACGTGAAAAGTAAAAAATTTCCGCCAATTGCACATCAATTTCATTTTAAAATCAATGCGTGATTGGCGGAAATTTTTCACTTTTCACATTTTCACTTTAGAAAAAGTTACAGAATCGATACCCTGGTCTATTTTACATCGAGCACTTAATACGCGTATCAAATAGTACATTTGAGCTGATCAGCCAATAATTGAATCAATTTACTAGTTATTTACTATTTAATACGCGTATCAAGTACTCGATGTAAACTAGGTCTCTGTCCCACACGTTGATTCCCGTACTATGTGATTTTCTTCTTATGAACGTTTCCGCGTTTGTTATCGTACCATTACGCATTACGCAGACGCAGAGAAATATCTCAAGCTACCGTTACATTACATTAAGATTTGAATAATGTTAACATTTAACTTTCCTTTGTGCTAAAGTATTTTAATGTGTAAAAAAAGATGTATGCGCTTGTGAAATTTTACGATGATGTGCATTATGTGTGCACCCAAAAATGTATTTTTCCTACTAAAAGTCGCGACATAAAAGTAAAATACAGCGATGGATATAGGTATTCCGCAACGATCATTGCAAGAAACAGTAAGAAAAACAATTATATCTACTAAAATGCTTTTCTTTTATATTACGTATTGTATATTTATCTCAGAGAGCACAAAAAGACCAAAAAATTTCTTAAAGATGTCTAAAAGGTAATAAAACATTTTTAGACATTTTTTGGACAGATGTGCTCTTTGTATGTATATATAAATATGTTATTTATATTATATATATAATATAAATATGTTATATCATATGTTATATATTATATGAATATACACATACGCAATAATAAGTAAAAAAATTATCCTTTGCCAAATAATATATCAATGTAAACAAAATATGTTACACATATTTTTTTTTAATTGAAATTTTATATCTGAATTAAATAATTTTTCCTAATAGATACTTCTCATATCAAGATCAAAAAAATACCTAAACACATACATACGCACATGCACAACACACACATGCATCCATACACATGTGTCTTTATATATGTGTACATTAAAATATATATACTAAAATATATCACATAAAAACAATTATTACAACTACAAATGGTTTTAATTATATTTTAACCATGTTTTGTATTTCTATAGATGATAAAAGACTATTAGAAACAATAGTTAAAAATATTAATACAAATGTACCTAATGTAACAATAAACCCAAGAAAGAAGTATAAGACTAGAGATATTAACCCAGAAAAAAACATTGAATATCTACCATATGGTAAGTATGCTGTATCTACTTTTAATCACGACTTTTTATCACTTGAATATAGATTCGTATAATTCTTATGTGTATAAGTAATTTTCCGCTACAATTTGTTTAGCAAGTAGTAATAAATCGATTAATTGTGATGATCCAAGTGCAACTAGAACGACTGATAATTCTAAGAAACAGTGTAATCTTAACAAATTTACCGATGTATCTGTATCTTATGGTAAATATGCATTCATTATAAATATTCCTATAAATTATTATATTTTAATTGTTAATATCAATCTCTTTTTACAAATTTAGATAATGCTATTAATGCAACGACAACCTGTGATATGAATGCAACTAACAATGGGACAACCTGTTACATGAGTACAACTAACAATGCGACTGCTAACTGTAAAGAAAGCTATGATTATGAGAAAAACATTGAGAAGTCTTGTGGTATGGTTATGTTTATTATTATATTATATTTCGCATAATGATTAGTATTCAAAATGCACTTAAAGAGACTAACATTTTGTTTTCCAATGGAGGATCTGTATTATTTAAACCAGATTCTTCTATTGGATATCAATTGTACTAACATTTTGTAAGCACTTTCTGAATAGCAATCAATATGTATAGGTTTATAATATTTCAAAATGTGTGTGTATAAGAAGTTAATATGTTATGCTATTTTTTATAATTTTAGATATTAATAAAATAATAAATTTGGATGAAGGAGGTGTTTTAAACTTTGAAACTTGTATCGACTCCTCAGAGATTGATTGCCAGAAAGATATTCTTGTGTTTTCTTTTAATGGTAAGTAAGATCTATATATTGACTTATTTACAAAAATTCCTCATTTATTGAATTCAGTAAATGTTATAATGAAATTTTCTACTTTTTTCAGACGATATTAACGAAACAATTAATTGTGATTATACAAGTGCATTTAAAGAGACTGATAACTCTAAGAAGCAATGTAATCTTAAGAAACTTGCTGATGTAACTCCATCTAGTGGTAAGTATGCATTCATTACAAGTATTTCTGTAACTATTAATTATTATAACTTAACTGTAAATAGTATTCTCTTGTTACATTTTTAGATAATATTACTAATGCAACGACAACCTGTGATATGAGTGCAATTAACAACAGGACTATTATTTGTACTAAAAGCCATAATTATGAAAGAAACATTGAAAAGTCTTCGTCTTGTGGTATGATTACATTTACTGTTTGTATTCTACATAATGGTTAGTATTCAGAACGCACTTATAAAAATATTACAGTATAAGTATACTCATCGCCAGTAAAAGAATTTGTGTGTAAAACAGATTCTTCTATTGTATAACATTTTGTAAGCACGTTCTGTATACTTACCAATATGTGTATATGTATATATTCTAAATATGTGTATGCATGTAAAAGTAAATATGTTATGCTATTTCTTTATTTTTTTTAGTACCTATCAATCAAACGATAAATTCAGATGAAAGAAGTGCTCTAAACATTGAAACTTATGTCGAGTTCTCAAAGCCTGATTATCAAAAAGAAATGCTTGATAACAACCAAAATATTTTAGTAGATAAACAAATAGAATACGTGGAACTCTCACCTATTTGTAAGTATATATACATTTTTATGCGTTTTGATAGATATTTACTGCCATTATTACTAATATATAGTAACGTGAACTATAAATTTTTGAAATTAACGTTTTTATAAAAGTATCGTATAATATAAATTTGTATATTTTACACCTGTTTAAAATTATATTTAAAATACTATATAAATTTCCATTTTTCAGATTACGCTGTGATAATCTTAGAAGTGACCTCAACTTTCTTTTGTAAGAAAAATAGTGGAGCATGCTGATGGAAATTATTATTTATAATAGAGTAAATAGCTCTTAATCAATGAACCATTGTATTGTATTCATTATAATTTTAGATTAGGTTAAGTATTATGTAGATATAATCATTTTAGGTTAAGTTAGGTATTATTTAGATATTGTCATTCTGTGACAAACAGACAGTATTTCGACTTGAAATATATTGATGCAAAAATGGCGGATTTTTGCTATGGATATAATAATTCGAGTTAGCTTAATTGGATTGCACAGAAGAGTTTTCAAATCCATATATTTTACATTTTAGGAAAATATAAATTTGGCATTATTGCATTGATTTATACAGTCGAACCTCAATATAGTATGTCATCATATATCTAACATATATCTAAATTACATTTATTGAAAAAATAGTCTTTATATGTATAGGAAAATTATTAAATCGTACGCGATGAAATGAATATATATTCTCATGACTTTCAAATAGTTCCAATGTTCGTGATAATAAATCGTCGTCGAATAAGGTTTGCCAATTGGAAAAGCATATCTCACAATACATATAATTATAAGATATAATATAGCATACAGCCAGAATAGAACAGTTAGAGGAGAAATCACTTTTTTCATTACAATTCAGTGATGCACAATATATACATACATATTTTCCTTATACATATAAAGACTATTTCAACACCATAGAGTATTTATATAAATACAAATATACAAGATAATTTTTTAACATAATGTATGGGCTTGTACATAATGTTAAAAATTATCTATCTTTGCTTGTTCTATTTCTGCTACTCGACATCTCTTAAAGACATATATTGAAGTTAGTGTTATCTCAGCTAATGCAAGCCATTTGTCATATAAAAACGACTTTTTTAGTGCTGCATATGCTGCATTTCTTTGTTTCATCAAATATTCATGGAACTTTAATATCATTCATTAAGGGGAGATTATCTTTTTATGTCTTTTATGTACAGACTGCGTTTCTTGCACAGTTTTATTGACACTTGTGCTAATATCTGCAATGAGTAGTTTTATGAAATCTTTGACTAATTTCTTCTTATCCTCATCTTCTTTTTTGATACATTCTACAATTAACATATTTCAACATATTTTAGAAGAGTTGACAAAGTAGATGCTACGGCGGAAGCTTTATAGAGTTGTGTGTTATTATCATAATTTGCAATTATGTTTATTGCAGAGATGCAGTCATCGTATAATCGAGGATGGTACAGCGATTGGAAGTCTTGTATATTTGTATATATATCCTTTAACGCCAAGAGAAACCGTCCAAGAAGGCGTAACTTGGCACGAATCATGTCGTGCTGATGTTGCACTTTATATTTTACGCACATTTTATTTGCATATGTTATCATTAACTCATCGTATCTCAAAATCCGTGTTACTTCATCTTCCTTCATAACCGGAAAAACAGTTTTCCTTAAAGTTTTACTGGCTATTGGATGAAGTCTTCCAATGATTCGTCTACCCATTACCATAATATTCTTATTTTTATTAAATTTACTGTTAAAACAAACTCTAGAATGATGTCGTATTGTGCTTTTGGCAAAAAATCCTTTACATTTGGCACAGGCTGTAAAGTCAGTTGCAGATTTATGATACTTTTTATTTGGACGTCTACTAACAAGTAATTGTCCACTATCAAGTTCGGCTTTTGTGTTAAATTTGAAGTTTCCATTTTTCCAAATAGCGTCTATTATTTGCAATCTTTCTGGATGTTTCTTAGGTAATATGGCAAACTTTTTTACTTGTGGTTCATTACGATGAACTGTTACCAAATGACGTGCAAGTTGAGTTTGCAACTTCTTGCAGAAAACACAATAGTTTCGTTTCGATTTCATTTTAGATGTTTCCACATACATAAGCTCATCGTTGCATATTACTGAGCCAACAGTATTTGAAGTATCCAAACTTGAAGTGGAAGACGCAGTCTTGTTTATTGTACTTTCCACGCGATCTTGTGTAGATTCAATATCTTGTGAAAAAGAACTTTGTTCAGATGGTACGTATTCTGAATCCTCATCGGTATCATTACCTTGTATAAAATATTAATAAATACATTATATACATATGTAAAAAGAGGACACAGTTTTTACATGAATAAAAGTATGTATAAGCACAACATGTATTGAAGTATGCATAACACAATATTAATTGTTTTAATAAATGTAAAATATATACAACAAAGCAAGAAAAATGTATCATAAGAATAAAATTTATTTTTTTTTATTTAAACTTTTTTAAGTGTACTATCACAGCAGAAAAAAATATAATAATAGATACAAAGATTCTTTATATCTATTATTAAATAATATTTTAATTAGAAAATACATTAAAAAATATAAAAATAAAATTAATTAAAAATATTAAATTTAGTAAATATTGTTTAAGGGGATGCTGGAGTTACTTGAGAAGTCAGTTTTGTTTTTTTCCTTTCTTATCGACAAAATATGAGGTTAAATAAATTGTAAATCTATTTATTGGCTATACGGATTGTTTTTTACTTAAAATTAGAACGCTTCGCCCTTTGTTAATATTAATACTTTAATTTGTACAGGCAAAAGATTTATCAATCTGTATAGTCTCATATTTCTTGATTACAGAATAAGAATTCATAAATCTGTAAGCTCATCGTTGCATATTGATATATCAACAGTGTTTAAAGTGTCAAAATTTTTTGACACTTTAAAATGTTGACACTTGTCAAAATGGTTTTGTATTAAATAACATTGCTAATAAAATATTTCTATGTAGATAACACTTTCTTATTAAAATATTTCTGTATACTAAATTTGACACGTATATTTTATTACATATAATGTTTGTGTGAAATAAATAATATATTGTGCAATTAATCATGTTCTTGATTTAAGGCTTTTTATTAATTCTTGAGTTTTATAAGCAGCTTTCGCTTATAAATTAAAATAATATGTATCTATCTAAAACTGATGGACTTTTACATGGAGTCTTTATACATGGTTTACTAAAAGTGTAGAAACCTTTTAATATTACGAAATTTTTTTTTAAGATAATTGTGTTTTTACACCAATTCATTTGTCTCGAATTATTTTGTGCATAAAAATATTAAAATTATATTATCAAAAATTGAATATTTTACAAGATATTTTACAAGAATTTGCCATTATATGTCATATATGTTTTTTTAGTTACATCCCGTATATTACACTGCAAGTATTTGCAAAAATACTTGCATTTTTTAAATTTGATTCACCAAAAAAAAATTATTTAATTTGTCTATTATTCTTGCTTATTAAACAATTAAATCCTTTATTTATTCTGGAATGTAGTTAAAATAACCAATTCATAGAAAATAACAATGTCGTCACAATAGCCAAATAGTATAATATATATACTGTAAGAATCTCTTTGTCATTCGAAATATAAGTTGTTCTCACTAATTGTTCTTAAGAAGCTGAGCTTGAAATGCCCTGTTTGGGACAACAACAGGAGAACGAGGAACGGCTGAGGGTCTCAACTAAATAAGGAGTCACTTGATTAATGGACAGTATATTAGAGATATTCATTTAATATGGAAACACAATTGTACGGGTGCGGTTAATTATAATCGCCGGCCACACACTTCGAGAGATATCAGGATCGACTCACTATGTCTAATTGCGTCGCTATTTTCACGGTTACTTCAAATCAGAAATTGCGAGCGAGATACAAAAACGTTATCACGTTAACAAAACCGTTAGGTTGCTCTAGTCAAGTCGAATATCGAGTGCTACAACCAAAAGGGCAGATGCCTTTCACTCGAAAAATCTCTCGTAACTCTCTCTTCTCTCCTTTTATACCCCAAAAGCCTAGCGAGCGCGCGATCGGGAGAATACCCCCAGAATTCCGGGCCTGGGTCGCGTAACGGGGCGCCGACCGACCAATTAATCGGGTGTCATGCTTTCCCCGCGTGTTCGCCAGTCAGTTCGGTGGGGAAAAGGGGAAAAATTTCTTACAGTTCGTCCATCCTGATATTACATTCGTCTCGAATGTAGCCGATTTTTTTTTTTTTTTTTTTTTTTTTTTTTTCGATTAAGTAAACCTAAGAACAGAAATACACATTAATTATCCTGAGATTACAAGATAATTTTTCGCCATATATAATTACATTGCATAAAATCTTAAGTGAGTAATTCGGGTACATTATTAATATTAATCATACAAATAACCCCGCAATATAGAGAAAACTTATTTTTAACAGTGCGGTCGCCAAGGTACATATATTTCTCTATTTAGTACTGTCATTTATTATTCTTAATTACCGGCTTCGTCCAGTATTTCAATTTGTCGGAAGACAAGATGGTATTGTAAGGTTTTTGCGTGATGTCGAACCCAGGAATGTCCTTTACAACATACCGGTTTTTATTTAGAACCTTGGCAATTTCATACGGGCCTTTATAATTTGGTTTTAGCTTCTTACTTATACCTACTTTGGCCTGAAGGTCGCGTATCAATACTCGATCGCCTTCCTTGTACACAGTCGGTTTCTTGTGGTGACGATCATAATAAGCCTTATTATATTCCCTGAGCTTATTGTTAGCTTGTTTGGCAATATCACGTGCCTCCTCTCTCTGTTCGTACATGTTATTATCTATTTCGAGCAAACAGTCTAAATAGTCTTTCAAATCTTTGTCTTCATGACATTGTTGCTCGTACCCTAACAGAAGTTTCGAGGAAGAGGTTTTTATTGCTGAGTTATGTGTATTGTTCACTGTGTACTGTACCGCGATAAGTTTATTTTCCCAATCATCAGCCGAATCGATCGATTTAGTTAGACTGCTTTTCAAATATCGATTAACACGCTCTACTATGCCGTTAGCCCACGGTGAGGCTACGGCGACCTTTCTAAAATTAATATTTAATTTTTCCAAAAATTCTGCAAAATCTCTTGCTGTAAAAGCCGAACCCCGATCAGTAACCGCCGTAACGGGTGTTCCAAAAATATGAAATAAAAATTTTAAACAATTGCGAGCTTCCTTAGTGTTCGTTGTTTTCGTAGGAAACAACCACGTGTACCGTGTAAACGCATCTATCACTACAAAGATATATCTTGAACCTTCTGGCGTTTCCTGCAGAGGACCAAAATGGTCAACGTGAATAATTTCAAATGGTTTCGTAGGGGCAAAATCATCTATTTGCGATTCGCCTTCGCGCCTATTAGTTGAGGAATTCGCATACAGGCACGTAATACAATTATCAATATGATCGCGAATTTTTTTTCGCATAGCTGGGAACCAATACGATCCGTGTACCCCTTGGTACGTTTTTTCAAATCCACAGTGCGACATATCATCATGATATATTCTAAGAATATTAGGGATCATCGCGTCGGGAATTACAAAGCGCGCGCGGTCCTCTCCTTTCCGATATATCAATCCATTGATTAATTGAAATTTATTATTATCATCAAATTCGAGACTATCAGCAATTTCTTTAATTCGCGGATCTTGAAGCTGTTTAAATTCTAGCTCCCTTTCCAAGGGTAAGATTTCTAAATAGAATACTTGGCGACTAAGCGCGTCGACGTGTGCCATTCTTTTTCCCGGACGGTGCTCCACCTTAAAATCATAGTTTTGTAATAGCAGCGTCCAACGAGCGATTCGGGGGTTCAAATTCGCTTTATTGACTGCGTAGACTAGCGCATTGCAGTCCGTAATTACTGTAAATTTTATACCGTATAGATAAATGTGGAAGCGTTCCACCGCTCGAACAATCGCGAGCATCTCGAGCTCGAAACTGTGATATCGCGACTCCGCGCTATTTGTCGTTTGGCTGTAATACGCAACGGGGGCCCATTTCGCGTCTGATTGTTTCTGGAGAAGTATTCCTCCAAGCCCCTGAGCACTTGCGTCAGTATGCAACTCAGTAGGTGCGGTTGGATGATACAAGCGAAGTACCGGATACGCAGTCAGTTCAGTTTTCAGTATTTCAAACGCGGAAGTACATTCTGCGTCAAAATTAAAGTCTACCGATTTTCGTAGCAAATTATGTAACGGTCTTGCTTTATGTGCGTAATTTTGTATAAACTTTCTAAAATAATTAGTTAACCCGAGAAATCGCTGCAATTCGTGAGTGTTTTTCGGAGCAGGAAAATTCTTCACGGCTTCCGTGTGACGATCGCTCATGGTTACTTGATTCTTGGAAATTATATATCCTAAGAATTCGATTTTTTTCTTCAAAAAACAACACTTGGTGAAATTCAACTCAAAACCGTATTTTTTAAAACTAATAGGACTTCTTGTAATACTTCCAAATTTTCCTTTACCGATCGACTTGCTATTAAAATGTCGTCAATATAGACTAGAACTTTATCTTGTCGTATGAGCGGTTGCAGAACTTGGACGACGCGTTTTTGGAATTCAGCGGGTGCTTCCGAAAAACCGAAGGGTAATCGTACATATTCAAATTGCCCATCGGGCGTCGCGAACGAAAAGTACTTCGTATGCTGAGGGTTGACTTTGATTTGGTGAAACCCGTCTTTTAAATCGAGCAATGTAAAAACCGCTCGATCGCTCAATTGCGCCAGACAATCCTCGATCAGAGGAAAAGGATATTTTTGTTTAAGAATGCGCGCATTCAGTGGGCGTAAATCTACGCATAGTCGCAGGTTGCCATTTTTCTTCCGCACGGGAACAATTCTTGCGCAGTACGGAGACGTGCTGTTCCTGATAATGCCGCGTTCCAATAAATCATCGGTAATCGCCCGAATCTGTTTTCGCTCCTCTAGCGCAAATTTTCTAGGTGCGAATGCGTACGTTGAATGGTCTTTCAAATTAACCGATACGTAATAGTCATCGTCGATTACCTTAACCTCGGTATTTAAACAATCTAAGACCACTTCTTTGAGCTGTTGTTTTTCCGCTAGCCCGAAATCTATTTCACACTCATCTAACAAAGATTCCGCATTCATTTCAGTATAACAAACATCCGATTGTAAAAGGAGTTGCGTAAATGCAGTGGAATCGGACCTAGTCGGTCGGAAAATTAATGTTAAATTGTAGTTCTCTAGGAAATCACGTCCGATTATTAAATCCATTTCAGAAAAATCTGAATCAACTACGTGAAGACAGACTTCGTAAGTACGATCGGGGAATGATTTAAAGCTAATCACGGAATTAATTTTCCCCTGGACGTTAATCGGATTTTTCGGCAAAGCGTTAAATTTCCGATCGACTGGTTCTAACGCGGTTTGCGTACAATTGAAAAATTTCTGAAAATTACTCAAACTAACAAATGAGACTGGACTTCCTGTGTCCATTAGCGCGCTCAAATTACAATCTATATTATTGATTTTGTCAATTATTATTAACGGTCCAGAGAGGTAAAACTTATCCCTGTTGTTATCCTCGACCGCCGCTGCCGTCGGCTGCGTGGAAGATGATGTCTTTTCCGGTGCCGGGGAGGAGGATGAGGCCGTTGCTACTGTCCGCTCTTTCTTCTTCAGCAGTGGACAGTCCGATTTCCAATGACCTTCCTTTTTGCAATAATTGCATGCTCCCTTGGTCGGCCTGTCCTTGTGGCCCTGTGTCTTCCCGTCAGCTGCTTTGTAGTCCTTCTTAATGGCTTTACTCTGATGATGGTTTTTTTTCTCCATGTCGCCCATACCGTAGGTGATCCTCCTCATTGCTTCCAAGAATTTATCTACAGACTGCGTGGTTAACGCCAAAGCCGTTGCACGAAGTGAATGTTGCGGAATGCCACCGATTATCAAGTTGATCGCATCTGTACTAGGGAGATCCAAACGATGAATTAATGTTAGCTTGTCAATTGAATATTGGTCAAATGATTCTTTAGCCGGATTCCATTTTCGAGCCTCAATTTTTTGCATCGCGGCCGTAAACGAGACACGACGATCAAACATCTTTATCATTGCTTGCTTTAGTTCGTACCACGACTCTAAGACGTGGCCGGATTGCATCTCGTACCACTGCTTTGCGAGTTTCGTCAATTTACTAGAGGCTGCGAGGAGCACGACGTCTTCCGACGCATGATGCACTTGAGCCACTCTGTCGACTCTTTGTGACCAAATATGGACGTTTTCCTCGTCCGTGCCGCCGAACTCCGGAATTTGCGGTGCTAACAAGGTCACCGCTTGTGCCGGCGATGATGTACTGACTGCTGGAGAACGAATCTGCTCCACTTCCTCCTGCTCTGGGGAAGGTCCCCTGGGGATAAAGTTATCTCTTATAGTTAGCGATCGTATCTCTTCCATCATTTGTTGTTGCTGCTGCATAAATACAGCCAAGGTCTCAGTGAGGCGGTCCAATGCCCCAGTTTGCGCCGCAGTTCCCGCGGCAGGTGTCACGACCACTGATGGCACCGACCCTCGCCGATCTGCACTGCCACTTCCTTTGCGTATCTTCCCGGTGGTAGTGCGGGAACCTGATGCAGAAGGCATCATTTCGTCCGTCGGACTATCGAGGGACAAATGTGCCGAGATCGCTTCGATCAACACCTCTCGATCAGCTGTTGCTGGCAGTTGATGACGTAGGGCCTCTTGTCGCAGATCATCCATAGATAGGGCTGTAAGCCGATCTCGCTCCATTATTTGCCACTGATCCCGCTGGGCTCGCGTTCCAACCATAGATTTCTTCGTCCGATGTGGAATCCCGTTCTTGCCTCGAACACAGTCTTAGACAATATCGAAGTCACCTAGCACGTTATCACAGGAACAAAAACATACGCGTCACCTTGAGCGTCGCGTGATGTTTTCGTGAAAACGGTAAACGGCGAGCTCAGGAATGCGGGACGCGGCTATCCCTAAATATACGTACAATTTTCTTAAGGGAAGGCGAGTACGTTATCCCACTTCTGAATTTTATACTGTAAGAATCTCTTTGTCATTCGAAATATAAGTTGTTCTCACTAATTGTTCTTAAGAAGCTGAGCTTGAAATGCCCTGTTTGGGACAACAACAGGAGAACGAGGAACGGCTGAGGGTCTCAACTAAATAAGGAGTCACTTGATTAATGGACAGTATATTAGAGATATTCATTTAATATGGAAACACAATTGTACGGGTGCGGTTAATTATAATCGCCGGCCACACACTTCGAGAGATATCAGGATCGACTCACTATGTCTAATTGCGTCGCTATTTTCACGGTTACTTCAAATCAGAAATTGCGAGCGAGATACAAAAACGTTATCACGTTAACAAAACCGTTAGGTTGCTCTAGTCAAGTCGAATATCGAGTGCTACAACCAAAAGGGCAGATGCCTTTCACTCGAAAAATCTCTCGTAACTCTCTCTTCTCTCCTTTTATACCCCAAAAGCCTAGCGAGCGCGCGATCGGGAGAATACCCCCAGAATTCCGGGCCTGGGTCGCGTAACGGGGCGCCGACCGACCAATTAATCGGGTGTCATGCTTTCCCCGCGTGTTCGCCAGTCAGTTCGGTGGGGAAAAGGGGAAAAATTTCTTACAGC